GTAGGGAAAAAAAGCCCAAACTTTCTCCCAATGCTTATTCAAAACACTTCTGATATTCTTAAGGACCACAGTGCCATGAAGATGTTGTCCTTGCTTATGTAGTGCTAATAGTCAGCTTTATCAGGATGGAACAGCCACAAGAATATTTGTCCCCTTTCTAGATCCACAGGATCTAGGAGTGGTTAAAAAATACAAAATAAAGAGCATGCTATAAAAATACTACTGTGCATCTTTGAAAACATCATTGACTGAAAAGAATTATTGTGCAGAGTACAATACACTTTTAAACATCCAAGCAACACAGAGGAATGCTAGTAGAGATCTTCCAGATTCCAAAGTAGAGATCTTTCAAATTTTCAAGACCAATAAGGGGGTTACAGGGAAACTCTCTCCTTGGGGAGGAAACTCAGTTATCCAAACAGGGCTATGCAACTAGCCAGGTTCTATCACTTACACGGCAATCTGGGGGGAAAAAAGTATCAACAGGCGTTTTAACAGAACAAAACAAAATTGAGAAGTTTGCCCTGAAGGAACCCAAGTTTAAGTACTGCTCTCTCCCTAAAATTGAGCATCCAAAACTGCAAGCAACTTTGTTGTTCTTAAATACTGACATGTTTTTCTGTGTTCTTTTAGCAAATACATAAAAGCACATTAGAGAGATTTTGTATCACATCACCTCCCTGTCATTAAGATGTCTGCAGATGCTTAAAGTGTGGTAAAATGCAAGTCAAGTGTTGCTTCTGGTTCAGGCAACATTGCCACTGAAGCTGCACTTGCAGAGATTTTTACAGTCTGTAGGAGCTGACCTTACCAAAGAGAAAGGCTGGGTTTTTACAGTACATACAGGAAACCAAAACAATTAGAGGATTAATCTTAAAAACACTCGTAGGGTTGAGATAATGAGCTACTATTAAACCTCTATAGGGTAAAAAGATACTAGGAAAAAGAGAGCAGGGAAGCTTCTTGCCTATTAAGTTTGTACAGTAGCATGAAGAGGGAGGCTGGGAGTGAACCTGATGGCATCAGATGGAGACAGTAAAAGCAGTTCCTGGATAAGGCTTCTTATGCCAATCAGCTTTATAGCTATTGGATTTCAGTCTGAATCTGAGGCTCACATCTTATTCTAGTGATCACAAATGCAAAGCCTCACCAGTCAAAACAGTACAGGAACTGCTGAGAAAGTGTGTCAAAGCAAAATTCCTTTGGGTTTGCATCATGTTATTCCTTAATTAATTACTGGAAACCCATTGCCAAGCAAATCCATGTGCAAGATTTGCAGATACAAAGTAAAGCCTCGTTAAACACAAACTCCACTGGACAACCAGCCTGTCACACTGCCACTCAATGACAATTAATTTACTAGTAAATTTGGCTTTTATTCAGCATTTTGTGTCCCTCCTTGTCTCAAAATGACTGAAAAGCCTAATATTTAAAATCTGAAACAAATGCTAATTGTATATTTTCCTTCCACTTTAGGTATTTACTTAAGGCTCTGCAGTTTGGTATTTCAGAATTGAGTGAATTCAGAATTTTTCCTGACAAAGTAACATTAAAGGCTTCTCTGAAAAATCAAGTTACAGGATGTTCAATTCAACTTGCAACCTGAGCATTTTGGGCAGAACTGGATAGACTGATTTTTTTCTTATTAGTTTTTGTTTTCTTTTGTAAGATTGTTTTTAAGTTAATTAGAACTTAGCTCATCTGTTTTCCATCCACTTTGTATTCTACAGTTTGGCTGGGAAGCAGTGTGCTCAAATTAACAGACCTAACCAGAAAGACACAGGCCCACAGAAAGTTGTCCACAACTGACAGGAATTTCTGAGAAATCAGAGTAATTACAATCTTTGGTTTAATTTTAAGTTACCAATTAACAGAAAATTGACACCTGCTGTTCTCAAGAGGAACAAAAAAGTCTGCTCTACTCTTTTACCTGGTGTTGTTATGCTTAGCTTGCATGAGTAACACACTTAAAGGCTGTAAAATCCTAAAGCATCAGAGAAGAACATGCAAGATTTCCTCCTATTTTGACTTGCAAGCTTCTGGCAAATGTGACCAGCTGTACAACTGTTTTAAAAGCATTGTGTTTCCAGTCCCAAGCTCCCTATGGTACCTCTGTCACTCCAATGCCCCAATTCAAGGGCAGAATCACTACTTCTGAAGTTGAAACACACCAGATATTTTCTCTTACAATGTTAGAATGAATCAATCCTCTTCCTAAGAAAGTTTTCAAATGCACTTAAAAGTTTCCTAGTGACACTGACAACATACTAGACCACATTTCTGCTTTCCAGGGATACACAGCAACAGTTCCACTCTGGGGCAATGCTTGAATGGTATTTCCAGATCAAAGCACAAACTCCAATAACAAGGGCAGCAAACACACCAGTGAAGTGAGTTTCAAAACATTTCTGTCTACTCATGAATCATCTGATAAGATGGTAAACAAGGTTAAAAATCCTTCCACTGTTTTCAACCACACCTAGTCCAGAAAGAGGCCAACATATTGAACCTCACTGAATGGGACTGTATTTCTAGTTCCATCAACTAGTGCCACGTTTTTCAGAAAACACTCTTAAACAAACAAACAAACAAAAAAGAGCTTATTATTTCTGGGGAAAAAAAAAACAAACAGCCAAGGACTGCTCCTTTTATCTAACATACATAAATATACTGTTATTATAGAATTGCATTGTGATTCATGATTTTTGATCATGTTTATGAAATAGTATTTTATATGAGTGGCAGCAAATTAGCCCATCCACTCATTATTTTCCCCAACTGTGATATTAACAACCACTGAACAAGTTTCTGCTGACCTTGTCTTAAGCTTCTTATTGCACAAGCCTGATAATGACTTGATGCTTCCTCCTCCAGCCCCGCCAACTGATAATGGGCATTTGCTTTCTGACAACTATGTTCTAGACTGGTCTCATGAGCACTGCAATAAGGAGAAATGTCTTCCAGTCTGACAGAATCTACGCATAACTGGCATTAATTTGGACTGTACTTCAAAAAAAGCAGCTATTGCTGCTGGACACCAGGCATCTGACCCATCCTGAATTTTTTTTATCTGGACTTTTCAGTTTCCTATTTGGAATGTATTATGATCTGACTTTGCCATGGAAGACCATTCTAGCAAGCCTTCTTTCATGTACTAATTCCTCTGCTGGATAAACTCTTTGGTTATAGCACATGCAGGATTAAAGTTTTATAATTTAGCAACAAATTTTACAAAACATTACAAATGTAAAATATATTTAAGTGTATATCTATGGGACAGAAAGAAATAGCAGTAGGTAAAACTGGCATTATTGACACGAACATCATTTTCACTGCATAAAATGTAACAAACTATTTTAAAACTGCACATCCACAGCTGCAGGCCAAATTCTACCACCATATTCTGCTCCATCACCCACCACAGGAAATCACACCAACGTACCCAGAAACAACACACGCCTACACCAACGTGGCCAAACTGAGCATAACAAGATTTTTTTAACTGGATAATTGTTCCAAGTTCTAGGCAGACTAACACCTGCCTCTCAGGACTACATTAGATCACAAATACAATCACATCTGTGGCTATGTATGAAAGAAAGTTTTAATTAATAACTTACACACAAAGGTCTCCACGTGTGTGCACAAGTCACCGCACTTCGGGCAGCGCAGCTGGTTCCCTCCTTTCCCAGAGCTTCCAGAGCTTGACTTTTTACCACCCCCCTCACCGACAGACTTCTAAAAAAGATTGCCAGACAATTAGCCCCAAACAATGGAGAAACTAATTTCATTATTGCAACTGTGTTGATTCTAAGTGTTTCTGAAGCCACAACTCTCTTCAGGTCCTTGACAGATATAGCAATGTTGGCAGATGCTGTAGGGCTGAGAGGGCCTATAAAACAAGCATCTCAGAGAACTGCTTGGAAATACTTCATTTTTTACTTCTGAGACAGAGTTCCCTGACTGAGCCCTACTTGTCTTTCTCTGTGTTATCCTGCTTAGTGTGGTTAAGGCTAACATTTGTTAAATCTCTACTTGTTCTATGCCTTCACACTTTGGTTAATAGTTGAAGTTACTACATTTTAGGAAACAGCAAAGATCCCTTCCCATTTCTTCGGCAATTGCCCATTTTTTTAACCTTGCTCACCTACTCACTTCTCCTGACAACACTTCTCAAGAAAGTGAGACTATTAAAAATTTTTTCTCTTCCACCTTTATTTTTTAAAAAAGCTTAATCTGAGCCTTCAGAACATACCTGTGTCATCTGGAGAGTCCCTCAGGTGTCACAACATGCTACATTAAGGCAAAGGTATTACCTGTGAACTCTCAAAATCTTATTTGCTGAGTAAAGAGCAGCTTTATTCTCAGGTAATCATTTATCTGAAGAAGCTGTTTATTAACTATAATTATAGAGAAAGACTAGGATGAAAACAAATTACAATTTACTAACAAGAATAAAACTATTCTCCTCACAAACTTCTCTTGCTTAATACAACTACTAAACCAGTGCTGAAAACAAAAACATTTTAAATTGCACTTACTTTAAAAAACCTACTTTGGAGTAGAAGGCTTTTGAAGGAGAATTATTCCTATTCTTACTCATCCCTGAAATCCTGAAACCTGTTGTGGATTTATAATATTCTACAAAGTTTTCAAGTGTCCCTTTTCACTAGGCAAAACGATTTAGAAAACTGGGAAGAGCAATATGGCATGTTTGTAAGGTTTGTCTGCTAACAAATTCAAAGTACTATTAATTTCGTATTCACTGTCAGTTGAGCAGTTTAAAGAATCAGAAACGTTAAGAGTTAGCAAAAATTTCAACAAGATTCTAATAATTTTAAGGAAAAACACCTACTAAAAACATTTAAGAAACACTTTATATAATTGAGAAAATGCATGGAGATTACCTTGCTTCCCTCTCCAGAACCATCCTTGCTTGCACCATCCTTTGAAGCAAAATAAGCTGGTGTTTCTGAGAAGTTTCTAAGAGGAATTCGTTTGAGAGAACAAGTTTCAAAAGTCCCAAGTTTTCCTAAAACAGGGATGCGTGTACGACCACAAGTGATACCTAAAAAGAAAAACAAATAGTTAAAATCAAACACTAAAGATACTGTTCTAATCCAAACACCACCAAACCCCAGAATTTAATGACATTAAATGAAGCTCAAAGGTTTCAGCAACAGAACTCAGCTCCCAACATCCAAATTAGCCAAAATAAATTCTCTTCACCACCTTACTGACCTTCTGTTTAAAAGCTGCCTGGATTGTCCAAAAATGCCCCGAAAGTAATTCCATGTTTTCTAACATCAGACACTTGAAAGTCTCATTGTCATGAAATAGGGAACATCCCAGTTATGAAACAGATTCTCAGAACAATAAATAAAACCAACATCCAGCACTTACTGTGAAATAATTCAACCTCTGAAGTAAGAGAGAGACCTTTGAAGCATCTCCTCATTATGCAGAAATCACGAAGGAATTGTCTCAGACCGCAAATCTGGACTTGGCTTTCACTTGTGAACTCTACTCAACATCAGTTTCCAAGAATTCCAGGTACTACTTGACAAAAAAGAACCATTCTGAGAGGCAGTGTGGGATTTGGCACGTGCTGGTGCTCAACACAGGCACGAGTCAACTGGATGCAACCTTAACTTTGTTGAAACCTGCAGGTTATTGCCAACATGAGAAATACCACATTGAGAAACTAAACAGCATTTTCCTCCTCTTGCAACAGCAGGAGGATTACATTTCATGACTGGGTATGTTGTGAATCAACATGTGTCGTGTTTGTGATTTCAACATCTCCCAACACAGACCAGAGCCTGGAATCCCATTCCTTGTATCTCTCTCTCTCATTTAAAGTGGCAAATCTCTGTTTAGGATTTTAAAAAATATGTGACTTACTCACCAAAGAGCTAAACAGCAACAACAACAATTCAAAACTTGCTGATAATACATGGTTTTACTGTTAAGAAGGATGAGAGAATGCTACAGAAAACTCCAAACTCTTCTAAACAAAGAATAAAAGCACGAAGAATAGCAAGAGGAGTAGAGTTAATTTGCTCTAAAAGAGCTAACAACTACAACTAAGAGCTGGAATATTAGTTAAAAGAGGACACTTAAGAAAATTAACCTTGATACTGTAACAGGAAAAGGGAAAAACACAGAAAACTATTATGGATGAGCCTGGATTTAACCAGGAAACTCTTACAGAGTTCTGCAAAGTCACAACCAAGCATCATCAAATGAGACTTCAAGTTGTTTGTTAACTTATATCCTGCTTAAGATTACTAAAGATGACTTGCAGTTATTTTTAACACAACTGAAAATGCAATATTTAAAATATCTGTAATGGCATCACTTCTGCCTGTAAATGTGAGGGAGGAATAATGACCAACGTGCTTTCCAG